TCAAGAGCAATAACGACGGCCTCATACTCGGCCTCGTTGTTGGTTGCTTCAAACTCGAATCTGAGAGCGCATTGGATCTCTGTTTGTTTGTCAGGGCTGATGATGATGACCCCTGCGCCCGAGCCCGAGGAGTTCGATGCTCCATCCACAAATATTTGCCAAGTGTCCAAATTAGTGCTCATGCTCGAGCTCTCGCCTGGCCCCCGAGGCCTAGGGGTTAGTTCTGCAATGAAGTCGGCCAGAGCTTGGGCTTTGATAGATGGGCGTGGTTTGAATTCTATGTCAAATTCCCCAAGCTCGATTGCCCATTTCATCAGTCTTCCTGATACGTCCGGCTTCTGAAGTATATGCCTAAGTGGTTGATTAGTGAGCACCACAATAGGGTGAGACTGAAAATATTGCCGGAGTTTCCTTGCTGCTATAACCAAGGCAAGGGCAAGTTGTTCTGCTAAAGTATACCTGGTTTCCGCGTCCAGTAGGACCTTGCTTACATAGTAGATAGGCTGTTGGACTTTGTTAACCTCTTTCACCAAGACCCCGCTGACAGCATTTTGAGATACAGCCAAGTACAGAAATAAGGTGTCACCAGGCTCAGGCCTAGTGAGAATTGGGGGAGATGCCAATGTTTGTTTGAGCTCCTGGAAAGCTTTCTCACAGTCTTCACTCCAATCAAAGCCTTGGTTTCCTCTGAGGACTTTGAAGAAGGGATAGCACCTGTCCGATGCTCGGGACATGAACCTGTTCAAGGCTGCTACCCTACCAGTCAACCTCTGTACCTCTTTCTTGTTCCTTGGTGATTCCATAGATGCCAAGGCTTGTATTTTGTCAGGGTTGGCCTCTATCCCCCGATGAGTGATCATAAAGCCCAAGAACTTGCCCGAGGCAACGCCGAATGCACATTTCGCGGGGTTCAACTTCAGTCCGTATTTTCGCAAGGTGTTGAACACTTCTTCAAGATCTGAAATATGTTGGTCCACCTGTTTGCTCTTAACCACCATGTCATCAACGTACGCCTCCACATTCCTTCCAATCAAGTTAGCAAAGACTTTGTTGATGAGTCTTTGGTATGTTGCCCCTGCATTCTTCAAACCGAAAGGCATGACCTTATAACAGTATATGGCAGAATCGGCCATGAATGATGTCTTTTCTTGATCTTCTTCGGCCATGAGGATTTGATGATAATCAGAAAATGTATCCAAGAAGCTGTACAACTTATGTCCGGACGTGCTATCCACCAAGTTGTCAATCCGTGGTAGGGGATAACTATCCTTTGGACATGCTTTGTTAAGATCTGTAAAGTCAATGCAGACCCTCCACTTACCATTGGCCTTCTTTACTAAAACAACATTGGCAAGCCAATCGGGATATTGGACCTCCCGAATGAATTGAGCGCTGACGAGTTTGTTAATCTCTTCGCGAATGACCTCTCGTCGTTCTGGGGCAAACTGCCTTTTCCTCTGCTTTACCGATCTGGCTCCTGGGCTAATGTTAAGCCTATGGACTGCAATTTTAGGGTCTATCCCTGACATATCCTCAACCTTCCAGGCGAAAACGTCAATGTTGCGAGATAAGCAACTAACAAGTTCTGTCTTCAGGGTGACGTCAAGATCCCGACCAATCGTCATCTTCTTATCATGCTCGAGCTCAATTTCCATCAATTCTTCGACAGGAGCAAGTCTGACTTGTTGCCCGTCCTCGGGATCCATCCTCGAGATTTGCATGACGTCGTTATTTATTTCCCGAACACTGGCAACATAGCATTGTCTGGCAGCTGTCTGGTCTCCACGGACAACCCCAACCCCATTATTTGTTGGAAACTTCATGGCTAGGTGGAAAGTGGACACAATGGCTTTAATCTTGTTCAGGAGTGGTCTTCCCAGAATTGCGTTATAGGCCATTGAGACACGTACCACTTGAAAAGATGTCATCTCCGTAACCTGTTTCTGGCCAGAACCCAAAGTTAGTGGAAGTTCAACTACACCCTCTGGAGTGATGACTCCTCCACCAAACCCCTGGAGAAGAGTTTTAACCGCTTTGAGCTGGTGAGATGAGATTCCCATTTTGGCAAAAGCTTCTTGTGAAAGTATATTGGCCGCACTCCCGTTGTCAACCAAGATCCTCTTTACTTCGAAATTGGCCACAATCGCTGAGATTACCAAGGCGTCATCATGTGGAAGTGATACGCCTTCTAAGTCTCCGGTTCCAAAAGTAATATCCTCCAGCTTTTCCTGAGGCATACCAGAGGCCAAGGCATATCGTCGGGCATATTGTTTTCTTCCACTGTTGGAGTCTCCTCCCGAGGCAATACCTCCAATGATGATATTGATGGTTCCAGCAGTAGGTTGACCATCCCTTTTTGCCTCAGGGTCTTTTTCCCTGCCACGATCATTCCTCGGGCGTTTGTTGTTACCGACGTAGGAGCTCAGGAGTCCTCTTTTAATAAGGGCTTCAATCTCCGGTTGCAGGGCCTTACAGTTCTCCGTGGTATGCCCGTGATCCCGATGGAACTCACAGTACTTGTTCATGTCCCTGGATTCGGGTGGTGACCTCATTCTGACAGGCCATTTCAGTTCCTTCATATCCTTGATTTCCATCAATATATTGGTCTTTGACGTATTTAAACGCGTGAACGGCGTCGGGGGAACCTCCTGTCTCTGTTTTTTTCGATGCTGTTCTTCACGAGGGTTCGGGTCATGCTGTCTTTTATGCTCGACCCTGTCATGGGATGGTCCAACCTTTCTCGGGTTCAGTGTTTCCTCCATATTTATGTAGTTCTCGGCTCGGGTAAGAAGCTCGGTCACTGTCTTTGGCGGAGTTTTGGATAAAGACATCCTGAAAGCCTCACACTTTATGGCATATGTGAGGGCAGAAATCGCTGCTGTTATGTGTAGGTCGGGAATCTGGAGTCTTTCCTTGTTGAACCTGGTCATGAAGTCACGTAGGGTCTCATTTTGCCCCTGTCTAAGTTGCATGAGGGAAGCCGCTGTCTTTCTGATGCGTTTGCTGCTTGCGAAGAAAGCGGAGAACTTGTCCGCCAAATCCGAGAATGAGGCTATGGAGTTGGACTCTAAGGTTGAGAACCAATCCCTAGCGGCATTCGTCAAGGTTTGCGGGAAGGCCTTGCACATCACCTGATCTGGTGCGACCTGTAAATTCATGACGTCCGTGTATATGTTCAGATGATTGATTGGATCGGTGGTCCCATCATACTCTTTGATCCTAGGATACTTAAATCTGTCCGGCAAGGGGAATGTTAATATCTCGGGAGTAAATGGAGTGTTGGGACTGAATCTTGTCGTCCCTTTATTGCCCTGAAGTAGGCCCGCCGCAATTCCTTCTTGAATAATCCTAGCGAGTGCCCCGGACTCCATGGTCACTGATCTCGAGGCCGAGGTCACATGTGGTATACCCGAGGCCCCTGCTCCGCCATTGTCAGGCACATGAGCTCGAGCTCGAGCATCAGCCATAAAACCCCCCTGGGGTGCCCGTGTGGGTGATGGATGCGAATTTCTTTGACTTAGCAGCTGAGTCAGTGTGGCGACCTGTTGCCTGAGCTCTTCAAAGGCTCCAGTAGTGACGACTGCCGGCTGGGGCACTGGCACTTCTGATGATTCCTCTTGAGGAACAGGGATATCCTCAGGAGGGGGTTGGTTTGGAGCGGATGAGCTTGCGGGTGGAAGACCTGATTGTTTGTTTACCATGGCTTTTGGTAGCGATTCCCACAGACGGCGCCAATGATGCTACCAAAAATCGTACCTGTAGATTTCCCGAGCTTGATGACTGATTATGAGCACGAGCGTGATCTTCCGATACCTGAGACAAAGGCAACGAGGTGTGTTCTCGTCGCCCCTCCGATGCTTAAGTCAGAAAGGGAAATATATGCGTGAGGCTATGTGCTGAAGAACAATGTAAAACGTACCTGAATAATGGCCCAAGGTTCTGCTTTTATAGGAGTAGGTAGTGTACTCCTAGTAGGATTGTGTTGGTTGGATGTTTTAATCCAAGAGAATTTCTATTATAAAGAGTGTCCTACTTGTGATAGAATTGTTTGACAAGTGGTGTCAGGTTTGGTGTAGAATCCTTGGGTGCTTAGGTTTGTTAGTTAGGCACCTAGGTCTAGGAGGCATGTTGGTGGTGTATGTCTCGAGGACTATTCTCGAGGTTATTGAGAGAATGTAAATGTGTCCTCGAGGTATCTCGAGGACTATGATATCTCGAGGACTTAGGATGACCCCGAGGACCATAGAAGAGAAATGAGGTAGGGGTATATATTGAGTCCTCGGGGATATACTCCTCGGGGTATATCAATATTGGCATAGTCAGTCGGAATGTTTAATGATGAAAAAGAAATTTTTGATTTTTACAAAAGATATGCATACAATGTAGGCTTTTCGATTAGGAAAAGAAATTCACAAAAAGATGATGATTGAAATCTGAGATATGTTGTGTTTACATGTAGCCGTGAAGGCCAAAGGAATAGTAACACAAGTGGTTCTTTGAAGCCGCAAGCTACCATTCAAACAGGTTGTAAAGCCAGACTAATTGCTTCCGTAGATGCATCTAGAGTATGGAAAATTAAAACGGTTAGTCTTGTTCACAATCATAAAACCAGTCCTTCGAATTCGAGGTTGTATCGTTGCAACCGAGAATTGAGTGTCCATGTGAAATGATGGCTTGAAGTAAACGATATGATAGAAATTCCGTTGCATAAAAGCTACAACTCCGCAATAGTAGAAGTCGGGGGATATGATAAAATAACTTGCATCGAAAAGGATTGTCGAACTTATGTCTAACAAGTGAGGCGGTTAAGACTTGGAGAAAGTGATGCTGCAGCAATATAGGCCTACTTTTCGAACATGCAAGCAAGATGTTCAGGTTTTTTCTTTAGTATGGATTTAGATGAGGAGTCACGACTGAAAAATATTTTCTGGGTAGATAATAGGAGTAGGTAAGCATATAAGGAGTTTGGAGATGTTACAACATTCGATACGACGTACCTAACTAATAAATATGACTTGCCTTTTGCACCTTTCGTTGGAGTTAATCATCATGGACAATCAACACTCCTTGGTTGTGATTTGGTGTCAAATGAAAATACAGAAACATTTGTGTGGTTTTTCAAGACTTGGCTTCAATGCATGCACAGACAAGCCCTCAGCGGTATTATTACCGATCAAGACAAGGTCATGCAGAATGCTATTGAGATCGTGTTCCCAAACACGAAACCTAGATGGTGTTTGTGGCACATATTGAAGAAGTTGTTAGAGAAGTTCGGATACCACGAGGATAAGGGTGAGATATTCTCTGCTATACACGTACTGGTGTATGATACTAACATTGTTGCAAAATTTGAATAAGGTTGGAGTGCGATGATAGATAAATATAACTTGCACGACAATGACTGATTGTCGGGATTGTACGTGAATAGAGGCCATTGGGTACCTTGCTATTTAAAAAGCAGCTTTCGGGCGGGAATGTCAACAACGCAGCGCAGTGAGAGTATGAATGCGTTATTCGATGGGTATGTGCACTCAAAGACATCATTGAAGCAATTTGTCGAATAATACGAGTGAGCGTTGGGAAATAAGGTAGAAAAGGAGTTCTAGACAGATTTCAAGCCTTTCTCGCAAATGGTACCATGTGCAAAAACTAATGTATACCATTTCAAAATTTAAGGAAGTTCAGAATGAGTTTATTGGGAAGATGTATTGCAATCTCATATCTTCGTCAGAGGGTTTTTCAAGGACGACGTATGAGGTCATAGAGGATATTATACTTGACAATCGAGTTAAGAAAAGTAAGTTTTTTGTCACATTCGAGACAAAAAACTGTGAATCGTATGTACTTGTCACCTCTTTGAGTTTCGAGGAATAATTTGCAGAATGCGATCGCTGTACTTCTCCGTAATAACGTCACTTCCCTGCCCGACACATACATATTACGAAGATGGAGAAGAGATGTGAGTAGAGCGCACACTAGGGTCGCAGTGAATTACGATGGTTTAAGTAGCAGTCCTGCCCAGTCGAGATATGACAAAATGTGTCAATTATTTGCATCACTTGTGAACAAGATTGCAGATGATGACGAGGAAAGCCGTGAGGTAATGGAGTGGATGGAACACAAAATCAAATAGTAAAGACGACGAGGTCGATTTCTGGAAGTAATAACATGTCCTTGCAAGCTTTCCATACAGCGTTGGATGATGGAGCATCACAGCATACAATTAGCCTCGAAAGTATACAGGATCCAAAATGCTCGAAGAGAAAAGGTGCACCGAGGAAATTTCGAAAGAAAAGCCCGTTGGAATCGAACTCCAGTAAAGCAAAGGTATGTTTCCAATTTATTTTGGTTGGTCAGATAGTGTATGGAGTAGTAATAATTTGTGTTATGCAGTCGCGTCCGAATTCAGTCAAGGGAAGGAGGTCGGAAGTAGGCCCAAGTAAACTAGGAAAAGTTCAACTGCTTGTACAAACATGTGATCAAGGATCGTACTACATGCAGGCACCGGTCACATTTTCAGAACTTATGTTGGTTCGTCTATTTCAATTTCTTACTTTGCACGATTTGCATGTTGTAGTTACATTATAATCTTTTGTAGGATGGTGCTGACGATAACGTATTTGCACAACAAGAAATGTCCCCCAGTTTCTTCCCAGTAGCTCCACCAAGTGATCTGTTGTATAGTCAAGGTAATTATATGATTGAACATATGTACTTTATTTGAAGTTGTGGTCGCGTGCATAATAACTTTTTTCAATCGACAGCCGGACATGCAATGCCTTACCCCTATCCGAATGTACCTCACCATCGTGGAGAAAACTTGTGATGGTGAGTGGGGTTGGTTTTTGAGCTATTGATCATGGCCTGCAAAGGTCGCACTCGACGTTTCAGAGGTGCACTTTCATAGTTTCAGAAGTATATCATGACAATGGTCAAGCGTCGGTAACATGCTATTTTCAATTTTCCTTTCTGAGACTAAATCAGTTTACAAGACATCCAACGTTATAGTCAAGTTAATAATGTTGAATTTATGTTATTCCTTCTAGGTAATAGAAATTTATGTCACATCTTCTGCTGCTACATTTTCCTCTGTTCAGCTATCCTAATGGCAATAGCTTCTGCAATTTGAAGAAATGTACCTTCTATTTCTGCTAAAAATCTAAGAAAGATCCAATCAATATCTCTAGCATGTCGCTCCTGATGGCGAATCAAGAACACTGAATGAGTACAGTAATTCTCACAAAAATTCACGACCCAATAATGTCCATAGACTCCATTCCAGGTTCTTGTTTGCAGATCCTCAGAAAAGTCACTCCAATCGGACTGTTATTGTTAAATCTACGGAATCAACTAGTGGTTCAACCTCTACTGGCATTCTAAGTATGGTATAAATTTTTCTGTGCATGTAGTTTTTTCTCTGCCCATGTGAAGTTTTTGAATTAATGTGTGCGCGATTAGTTTTAATGGAATATTAACATGTTTTTAGGTGTTTACAGTGATGCATTTCATAGTTTCACTTGGAATCATATTAGCCATGGATAAGTATTTGAAGAAGGCATTCATTGCAGCTGCCATTAAGTTCCCAAGCACTCTATTTGGAATCTTTTATGTATTCGCCACTTTAAATGTTCTTGATTTCGTTGTCCTTGCGGCGGCATCTGGCTTGATGAACTTCTTTGAGCCTGCGTTTCTATTTATTCAGAGGTAGCTTCCATTGTTCTATGGACCTTTTCTGGTGGTCTTACCTCTGGCTTCTATATGGAACACCTTTGCAGAAGCCACTGCTCCGTTTGTTAGATTGGGCAAAGGGCAACCGAGGCCCGATGGTGGCTTTCATGACTGTCGGAGGGATTTTGTTTGTGATTTTGGCGTCCATTCTGTATGGTATAATAAACACTCAGAAGCAATTATTTGGAAGAGATCTGTAGATATTATTTTGGAACACCTTTGCCGGACAATGTTTTGTATTTATGTTCTTATGACTTGATGCTGCTATATACAATTCTACCATATTTATTGAATATGTTGATCACCAAAGGTAATTACATGTCTGCAGGCTTCGAATATAGAACTTTTTGTTGACCTAATGGTTGATTTATTGTTTTGATTATCACAAACAAATTGCGTTTGATTCTAACAAATTGAATTTAAGTGATTATTGCAAATTTATGACACGAAAGAGCTAGATCGAGAATCATGCAACATTGGCGCAAAATGACAAACACACAAGCAAGATTGAAGATTTACGAACGAGGAAATGGAAATTGAGCTTTCACGCACAAAATCGCATTGGATGAAGAAATCGAAGACATTAGCTATTGATGCATTTCTATATTCAAATGTAAAGGTAAAACACTTTAATATTTTGCATCGATTATAGCTCAAACAATTTTTATGCACGAGAATTATCATGACAAACTTTATTTGTATAAAAATTATTTTTAAAAGATAAGTAATTTGATTTTCACAATTAAATCTTTATGAAATTACTTATCTATATGAAGTATATAAGAAAACCCTTCAAGTACCTTAAAGAACATTTTTCACGAAGAATGAAAAATTCGATGGGCAAAACAATTGCCCATCCGGACGTCTGAATGGGGGTGCTCAACAGTTGGATTTTTTACTGTTTGGCAAATGGCTAGTTAGCCGTTCGGATACCAAGTGGACGTCCGAATCACTTGTCCGGATCTCCTATTCGATGGCTATAAATACCTCGCTTTTTACCTCTTTTAAACAAGAATTCTAGAGCATTAAAGAGAGTTATTTATTGATCTTATCTACCTTGTTTTTTAATATTTAAGAGATCAAAATACTTATTTGTTGAAAATTTTTTTGAGTGAGTAACTTTTTGAAAAATCATATATTTCAATAAAAGTTTTTCACACAACATTTGAGCTATATTTTTTGTGATTTATTGAAGTGTTGTGCCTGATTCTCTCTTAATATTTCGTTGTGTTCATATCATTTGTTAAGAGAGAAGCTTTTCAATTGTAACTTTGATTTCTTGTTCATTGAATTGTGGGTCGTGTTGAGGTCCCGGAAAGCTTAACGTGTAAAAGGATCAGTGCTCCTTAGTTGTAAGTCACCGGAAGCGTTGTAAGGGTTGGATTGCACCGTAAGTCAATCAAAGATAGTGAAAAAGGCCTTGCTCGTGACGGAGAGCTTGGTTATGGGAGACGTAGATCGTGATTGGATCAAACCTCGTTATTACATCGTTTGCACTCTCTTTTCCCTTCCTCTTATTACTTTTATGTTATCTTGTTTATTCATAGTTATTTGCTTAAATTTGCGTTTATTTTCGAAAAAGTTTCAAATAACCAATTCACCCCCTTCTTGATTAGTTGTTCTTGGGCTTTCACTTCTGATAAAAGAAAAACTGCTGGTACATAATTGAAATTTGGATTCACTCCCAATTGACTGAAGAAAAATTGCTGGTACATAATGAAGAGAACAAACTGCAGTCCACTAAAATTAACATCAACATCATTCACATAACGACGGAAACATGAAATGCGACTACATTACAATGATTTGTTCACACAACACAACACATATTATACATCAACTCTACATAACACAACATATATTGCACATCCTAAATGTTACCGATGCCTCCTAAGAAAAGATCGTGTTCCCAATCATGCCGGCCCCTTCCATTTCTTATCCACTCCCGCACTTCCATTGGCCTTCCTTATTGTCACGTTCAAAGAAATTTCAATATTTTGTTCTTCGTTTACCCGACAAAGGGACTGGAACATACGAGAGAACTGCTGGACTTCTTAAAGTGCCGCTTGATTATTTGAGTTCATTGCAATAGTAGTCGATCCGTTGCTCAATTCTCATTCGTTAACCCATTCCCAGTATTTACAGTTAGCACTACAGCAATTGAACAATTTTCCTTTGTTCTTCGTTTCCCTCTAAACCTCAAAGCACTTCACATATCCAATTTTACACCACAGGCATTGTCGTTTCTTGGGTAATCTGTGAAGAAGTGTCTTTTCTCTCTACAGCTATGACAACGTCCGAAATTCTTTCCTGCCATCCTACATACAAATGAAAGACAAGTTTCACTACATTAGACAACAACCACACACCAATGTAAAATCCACAAATTTACAAAACTCATAATCCATTCATTTTTTCCTTCTGTTATATTTGACAAAAATTTCTTAGTTGACAAGCCCATCCCATACGATGTAACATAGGTAGAAACACAATCACCTATCCCATAAGATAATAAGCACAATACAGCTTCTCATTTGTAAAGGCTAGGAATTGACATATAAATTAAAGCGACCTTACCAAGTATAGCAAAGAAATAAACCAATAGTGGTTTATCTGAATTCTCTAACACATCAACAAAAGAAGATAAAGTTTGTTGTTTCGCTTTGACCTGATCATAAAAACATTAATTAGACTTAAAATACAAAATTTACCAACGTATGATACAGAGGAAGCTCAAATAAGTATGGAAAAATTAGTAAGTCTGAAAGTCTAGTCGTAGTCCACTGCTGCTTTAAATCCAAGCTCAAAAAACGTACATCAATGAATATAGAGAAATCGGAGTCTACTGTGTAAGACATGAAATTCTAATATAAACAAGGAATTACAACATTCAGAATTCTAATATTTTATACTTGATTTCCAATTTACAGAATTGCTCCGTTTTCTCAAATACAGTGAAAAAGAGTCTCGTTCCGTAAATCATAATCAACATTCAATTAAATCGCATAACACTGAAAAGATTAGACAGATGTCGTTAAAAAGGGAAGGAGACCTAATTGAAACAATGCAGAAACTTCCAAAAGGGGGAAAATCGCCTTCCTTACTAATTAAATCAAAATGATAAATCCTCAAGTTCAACACCTATGGATTCCCATAAATAACTCATAAATCCAAGCAACTCATCAAATTAAATGTTGCAATATATATGTATGGAAGAAATAAAGAATTCAAAATAAAAAATAAAATTAATTATAAATCAATCTTCCATTTCAAACATGGAACTGAGAAAAAATATAAAATTTACCCACCGTTCGACTAATCGACAGACGATCACTACAGTAACCACGAGCTTCTTAATAAGGTCATAACGGAGGAGTGCAGCTTCATTTTACCCACCGTTTCGCCTATGTGGGTTTTCTCAGAGTTTGGGGACGGGGGAATGAAAGGGAAAAAGAGATGAGGTTAGGATGTAAACGAGTCTAGTCGGCTCGCGAGTCGAAATTTTGGGCTCAGGCTCGCCTCGAGTAAATCGTAACGGGCTTTTTTTGGGTCGGGCTTTTTACCAGCCGGGTCGGCTCGATTTTTTAATTTTTTTTTTTTGTAATTTTTAATGACATTTTTTTCACATGCTAATTGTTGTGGTACAAATTGTTGAATGACATTTTTTGAAAGAATTTAAAAATTGCATCATTTATTATTTATACAAATTACAAATTAAATAAAAGTACAACTTTCAAAATTATGTAATTTATACGAATAACAAAATAAATAAAAGTTACAAATTACAACCCTCCTCCTTTTTCCGGGCTTGAGACCGGCTACAATCAACGTAGGCGGAGTTAAAATTGTACACGAATAAAATATTTCGTGTATAATTTTTTTGAATCAAATAAATTTAAAAAATACATTTCTTAAAGAAAAATAATTAATTTAAAAACTTACAACATCTTATGTTTGGATATGCTGCAACTCTTCGGCCATTATACTATCAACATGTTCTTGAACACGTAATTCTGCACATTCCCAATCCTTCAAACATATCAAAGCCTCCAATATATCTTCTTTTAGTCTTGATCGTTCATCTGATAAAATTCAACCACCTAAACTGAATGCATCCTCCGATGCTACCGTAGACACCGGAGGTGTTAGTAGATCACGTGCAATTTTTGATACAATTGGATATTACCTTTCGTTACATCTCCACCAATTTAAAAGACTAAATTCTTGTAATTCGTGCGGTTGCAACATACTACGAACATCCACGCACATATACCTAGCTAACTCAGAAGGAATTTCAAGATTTGTACCACCAATATTGATCGCTCTAGATGTTGATGAGTTAGAACTAGAACTAAATGAAGGAGCACTTGTATTGCTATCTAAATAATTCCATAAATTTTCGGGATTTGTTGAAATATTTCTTGAAAAAGAACTTTGGGAAGTAGAACTACGCTGACCTTCATTTTCAGCATAATAATTATACATTTCACATAAAAAAGATTTTATATGCACGTGTGATAAATCTATATTCAAAAAATCTGATATCCCCTTTACAGTAGTTTTTGTGACAGTTAAATTAAGTCGATGGTCCATTACTGAAACTAAAAGAAATAAAGAAGGCAACTCTTCCCAGTATTTACAAAATTTTAACTCCATAGAGCGGACTACATCTGCAAAAAGTGGCAAATTCCTATATTTATGAAATGCTTGTGAAATGTAGAAAAAATGTTGTAAAACATGAGAAGATGTAGGGTAATAAATACCGCTACATTCCTTTGTAGTATCAAAAAAAGGTTGTAAGAATTTTTTCACGTAAAATGCAATAGTCCATTCCCAATCTTCCAAATTATGTTCGGGTCCGAGTGTATGCCTACCATTATAATATAGTGAAATCACTTTATCGTAATTTTCACACGAATGTAACATAAGATATGTAGAGTTCCACCTGTGTGTTACATCAGTGGCAAATGATTTCTCCTGTAATCCATACTCTGCACACAAACTATTAAATGCTTGTTTTCTTGCTGGTGACACAGTAATAAAATTTATTGCTTGTCTAATTTTATCTAAATGTGAACTTATATGTTCTAATCCAGCTTTTACAATCAAATTAATAATATGACATACGCAACGTTGATGAAAAAATAAATTTCCAAATACGGGATTAAGATCAGCAATAAATCTTTCAAAAACAACTTTGTTCACTGTAGCATTATCAAAAGTAAAACTTCGAACCATATCTTGTATACCATATTCCTGTATGATATCTTTTAAAACCATGTATATATTAGTGGCATTATGGGGAAATTCTACACATCTGAATGCAATAATTCTTTTATGTAGAAGCCACAGGTGATCAATATAATGAGCCGTAGCAGCAATATAACCTTTTCTATTACAACCAGTCCATAAATCAGAAGTAAACGATATAACACTATTAAAACTTTTTAGACTTTTAATAGTAATTTGTTTTCTTCTGTTATATAATTTTATTCTATCCGAACGAAGAGTATTTCCAGAATAAGAAGAATACCTCGGTTGGAGATATTTCTGCACGAGTCGGGTAAAGTGTATTGAATCTATCATCGTAAGCGGCATCTCTGCTGCAGCCACGTATGCAGCCATTCCTTCATGAAATCTTTCCTGTGAATATACAAAGGTGGAAAGAGTAGAATTAGAACCGCCAAACACTAGTTCGGTTTGTTTCGAGTCGAGATCAGCTGGTTTTGCTTTGCAACTCCTCAATACGTATCTATTCAAATGCGTTGTGCTCGAGCCAGGCTTCCAATTAAGTTCTTTGCCACAATAATTGCAACATGCTTTCCAAATATCTACTCCATTTTGAACACCAATTTTTTTTCGTGTCATATGTTGCCAACAGTCCGATGATTCTTTTTTTAACCTTTTTGTCTCGAGTACTTGAACTTCTTTCTCTTCAATATCCTCCAAATTAATTGAAACATTTTCACATGCATCGTAGTTAGATGGAGTACTCGAACTACCGCCAAACTGATTAACTTCATCACTTGTAAAATCCATAATAACTAGTATAATAAAAAATACTGAATATTAGACTGTAAAGTGAAAGAAATTGAATATATTAATTGTTATATGAGAAGTGAGAAAGAAGAAATTGAAACTTGAATCTGAATCTATGATATAGAAATAATGCGAATTAAAATCGATAACAAAGTGATTTAAAACTTCAAAAATCATATAACATTCCTTACGAGCCACGAGCCGGGCGGGCTCGGGCTTTTCCCGAGCCGAGCCACGAGCCGCCCGAGCCACCGAGCCTTTTTGACACCCTTAGATGAGGGTTTGCTTTTGTTTTGGGCCTATTCAAACAATTGACCCGTTTCTTTCTTTTTATTTCTTTTTCGTTTGCCAGCTCACCGTGTCAACCAACAGGTACGTGTAGCGGGATTGTGTTAGGCAACTAATGTTCAAATTCCATCCATGTGGATCACAGTTGCATATTTTTGAAAGATTAGGAACATTCATTAGCACAAATTGAAAGTTGAGGTAAAGTCTACAAAATTGAGAATGTTAAGTATCGCCGTTGCAATTTTTCCAATATTTTATCAGAAATTGAGTTAAAAAATGTTTGTGTACCAAGTCATTAAATCATCAAAATTTTAATTAAATTTTAATGTGATTGAAAAATTGTGGATCTTGTGAGATTAAAATTAATATTTCAATTTACTTTGATATTAAATATCAAATTTAATTTATGCCAAACCCAGGCTAAATAATTTACTTAATTCTAGTTCGAACTTTTTTGAAAATGGATTGTTAGTCAAATTAAGCTTACTAATAATCAATTTTCATAAAGATCACATACATAAGTTCAATAATGATAAATTAAGAAAAGATCTTATGTATGTGATCTTTTCATTATTTTTTTTAGAATTTTAAGCTATTCTTACAATTTGTAAAATTCAAATTTATTGTTTGTTTCGTTATTAAAATTAAATTCAAATTCATTTGTCAACTTTATTATTTGTATGCGATACAAGGGTTAGCGGTACACCTTTTTTAAATTAAAGAAGGACAAGACAATGCCATTTTTTAAGTTTAGTAACCAAAATTTGATCATCTCGAAATTTAGTGAGCAATCAAAGATATTTTCAAAGTACAGTGACATTTTTCAAAATTTAGTGAGTAATTTGAGCAATCAAAGACACTTTTTACGTAGCAATTTGGTGAAGTCCTGGTGGGATGTCGCCTGTGCATTCTGTTAACCACGTCACCGATTTCATTAGGGTTTGAAATTGAAGTTATGCTAGTGAGTAACGTTTAAGGTTTGAACAAATTTAGTGATTAAAATTTGATATTTTAAACTTCAGTGAATAATCGAAAACACATGCATAAGTTAGTGATTATTGGGACAATTAACCCTCTAAAATGAGCTTTGATATCTTCTTGATCAAATAATACAATGCAAGCAAAAGTTCCTAGATTCATAGAGCTATAGAACAGCATATAAGTTATCATGCTTGCATATCCATCATTTGAATCTCCAACAATTATTCCAATAATTGTAATTTATAATTCAACATCCATTACATTTCTAACTTAGTATTAGAGCCCTTAACGGCCAACACCGATGACACACCACAAAACACCAATCCCAACTCTTCTCCCATATCAACCTCAAGCAGAACGGTAGCATCAATGCAAAGAAGCAACCATCTCTCATCATTTGGCGTCAATCTAACTCAAGTGGTATCAGTTAAGCTTGACAATGATAACTTTCTATTGTGGACTGCTGTAAAGGAGAGAAATGGAGTTCAAAACAGGTCCAAGATAACCTTCCTTACTGGCAAGCTCCAAAAGTCAAGGAAAAGAACCATGAGCATTGATCAATATTTGAAGAAAGTGAAGCTCTTGGCAGATAACCTTGAGATTGCTAGTAAAGCTATTCCTCACTTAAAACTTAGGTTTTAGCTAGCTTGGATGAAGAATATACACCCATTGATCAAACTTCAGTCAATTTCACCCAAAAATCAAGCTCTAACTATTATCAATCCAGATCCTACAAGCCAGTCAATGGTGGAAGATCCCCAATCTATAGCAATTTTAGAGGTGGAAGAAGAGGTAGAAACATAAGTGGTAACTTCAATGGTGGTGACATACCTGTGTGGCAAGTATGTGACAAAGTTGGACATAAAGCTAATATCTGCAAATTCATATATGATGAGCAGTATAGAAGAACACCGCCAAATCAAAGGAATAGCTATAGTCTTTCACCAACAGCCTATATGGCATCTCCCAATATTGTGAGTTATCCCACTTGGTTTGCAGATACAGGAGCCAGTAACCAAGTCACAAACATTAATGCAGTCAATGAGTACACTGGTAAAGAGAAAATTATGGTTGAAAATGGGAATAAGTTACACATTTCACATATTGGTATTCCTCATATTCCTACCTTGACTGATAAGTCACTTGTGTTAAAT